GCGTCGTCCTGCAAACCTCAAGGTCGTGGGTTTAATTCCTGGTCAGGGGCACATACCTGGGTTGTGGGCTAGGTCCCTGGTTTGGAGCATGCAAGAGGCAATTAAGTGCCCATCAGTAAATGAGTGGATCCAAAAACTATGGTACATTTACACAATGGAATACTATACAGCAGAATGAAAGAAAGAACTCCTACCCTTCGCAACAGCGTGGATGGAATTGGTGAGAATTATGCTAAGTGAAATAAGCCAAGAGGTAAAAGACACCACATGATCTCACCTATAAGTGGAACCTAATCAACAGAACAAACAAGCAAGCAAAATATAACCAGAGATTGAAATAAAGAACAAACTGACAGTAACCAGAGGGATGGGGGGAGGGGCATAACGGCAGAAAGAAAGGAAAGGGTCATCCAGGAACGTGTATAAAGGGCCGGTGGGCAAACCAAATTGGGGTAGGACTGAGGGTGGGAGGTGGGGGTTGGTGGAGTGGAGGAGAGTGGTGGGGGGAAATGGAGACAATTATACTTGAACAACAATAAAAAAAGAAAAATAATTGTCTCAGCCTTTTGGCTAAGATCAAATATAAAAAAGAAAAAGAAAGAAAAAAAAAAGCTGAGAGTGCTGAGCACCAGGGCTGTGTGTAGCAAGTGAGAGCCTGAATATGTTGTCCCTTGTACCCTCTTGGCCCCAGCTCCCCCTCCCGCCCCAGCCACCCCTTGCACAAGGCCCTGGGTACCCCTCTTGTGAGCAACAATGGGAAACAAAGATTTTGCAAGAGTTGGGGCAGGAAGCTCTAGCACGTGCGGTCCTGGGAAGATAAGGGCGACCTCGCCCCTGCAGGCCTCCAGGCCTTCTGGTTTCCTCTCCTTCCTTCCCTTCCCATTCCCGGAAAGAGGCACTGGGATCCTGGCCTGGCCGTGACTCACCCCCTTTCCCTCTGGCAGCCAAACTGGGATCCCGGGCCCGCCTGTCACTGGAAATCCTTGCTGAGTATGACACTGGGCAGCAGAGAGCCCTCTCTAGCCAGCAGTTTCTGGGGCTCAGTAAGAGTGGCTGTCAGGAAGACAGGTTCTACTGCTGAGACTTAGTGTCAGGAGAGCTCCCAGAACACGCACTCCCTCCCCTCCCCCTTAAGCCAACTTTGAAGTCTGGGGTGAGTCAGACGGCAGGTGTAAGGCTGCGGTTTGTGTGTGAAGCACCCTTGATCCCTGTGGAGGGGAGCGTGCACCCAGAGGTCAGGGCCCGGTGATCCCTCAGCCTCCGGGACAGGTGCGGACATGCACGTTTGGTTGGTCTTCAGCTGGTTCCAGACGTGTACCCAACTGTGTGACCTGTCCTCTCAGGACCAGGTCACCGTGACCTGACCCAGGACCTCCTAGAGACCAACAGCCTGGGCTGTTTCCATCTTTTAAGGCTCTAGTGAGAGTTTCTTTATTTAAAAAAATTTTTTAAAGATTTTATTTATTTATAGAGAGCAGGGAAGAGAGAGAAACATCAATGTGTGAAATATCAACGGGTGGCAAGCCCCCAGCTGGGGTGTTGGCCCACGACCCAGGCATGTGTCCTGACCTGGAATTGAACCAGCAGCCTTTCGGTTTGCGGGATGATGCCCAAACCACTGAGCCATACCAGCCAGGGAAAGGCTCTCCTGAGATTTTTTTTTAAAATTAAGAAATGCCAAAACAAAAAGTGGGTTGCAAAAATTGTGATATGTACTATGTTCCTGACTTTCTTCGTTTACACGTTTAAAGCAAAAATGTGTAACGACCAGGTATGATTTCTGTCGGAAATAAGATGAAAAAGGCTAAACTGGACGTCCCGAGGGAACATGAAGCCTCTCATAAGCCTGGTTTGGACCAACCTGATTTCTGGAGAGTTCTCTAAGTCAACCACCCAGTGTGGCCTCGTTGGGCCACCTCCCCCCTCTGCTGCCTCCCTTTCTTCCCCTGAAAAGTGGGGACAGCGACCGTCCAGGCACCTGACGGGGCTGCTAAGACAACCCCCTCCGGAAAGGGCACGAAACATTGTACACAAAGGTGCACTAAGTGTCCGCTCTGAGCCGGCCGGTGCTGAGCTCCTCACATGCATCCGTTCAACCGATTCTGGAGGCTGAGGTCCTGGAACCCACTTCCCAGCTGAGGAAACAGAGGCTTGGGCTGGTGACATGATGAGCGCCAGAGTCGATTCAGAGACTGTGGTCCCCCAGCCTCGCTACTAAAATGTTAGCCTGTCAGTAATTATTGTTGCTGCTGCCCTGTGATTATTAAAATGAGCATAGGATAGCACTACCCTCATGCAACTGTGAGGAGGATTCAATCCATTTTTAAACAGAGCTTACTTAGTATACTACCTGGCTCATGACAATCGCTCTGCAGGTGTTTGTTAAATAAAAATTTAAAACACTTCAGGCCGGACCCAGGGCCCTGGAGAGGCAGGGTCCAATGTTCAACAGTCTTTGTCCTGGTGTTTCTTTGAGGGCCGCCTCCCAGCTCCTCGCCTTGCCCCTTAAGGAGGGGTTAAGGAGTTAATGATTTCCCAAACAGGGGCTGAAAGGAGCAGGGTTTTGCGTGCTACGCGCACACACACGCATACTCACACACACACCGGCAGCCTCTGTCCCCCTCCCTTCCTCCCTCCCCCTGCGAGGCTGGGAGCCTCTTATGCAAGCCGCCGGCGCCCGCCCGTTCCCAGGCCCGGCTGCAGCTGCGGGCGGAGGGGCAGGGCGGGGGCGGCGCGCTGTTTGTCTAGCGCGGCCGTGCCAAAGGCGGCGGGCCCCAGACAGCCAGGCGCCTCAGTACACCTGGGGATGCTCAGGTTAAATAGCTCCGCATTCCTCGGGCCCAGCTGATGGAAACGCTCCCAGGCCGCCGCCGAGCCGGCCTCCAGATGGGCTGGGCCCGGGCCAAAGGGGAAAAGAGGGAAACGTGAAAGCCAGAGTGTGCCTGAACCGTGGGGAGTGCAGAGGGCGCCCCCCCCCCTACAGCCCCATCCGCCCCTGGAAAAGGCCCTGCCGAGTGGGAGTGCACGCGGGGAACATGCCCTCGCCCCCGTGGGTGGGCTCACAGGCGGGGGCTCACACAGGGGAGGGAGTGGGCGCGCACGTGTACGTCTGAGGACACTGCAAGGACACACAGGCAACAAATAATAATTTATATCTAGCAAACACTACGGGCTAAGTGCTCGACTTCATTTTTCCTCTACAATTCTGTGAAGTTAAATAAAAAAAATTATAAAGTTAATGCTATAAAACAGCAGCGGGGTGGGGAGTTAATGGGGAGTAGTGAAGGATGGAAATTACCTCCAATTGTGTTCTTTGGTAAAGTTCACAATGTGCTTGGGGAAGGGGCAGTGCGTGGCTTTTTAAAATTTTCAATTACAGCTGATACACTAGTTTCAGGTGTACAACATGGTGATCAGACAAGGGTGGTACCTGCCTTAACATTAGTGCTCAATAGGCAATAATTTCTTATATTTTGTTGTTCACCCCCCTGTGAGCCTGTGGTTCTGTTGTAAACCTTCGATCAGAGCCCCGCCTTTAGCCCGTCCCCAGCATGAAACCCTCTATATAGAGTGGAGCATACAGGTGGGCTCATGGTGCTGGGTGCTATTTATTTTCCTCTATTCTTACTGATTGGTAAAATGTATTAACTGTCTTTACCTTCTCTGGGATAAGTGCTTTGCCCTTTGGGGGACTCGGTTTCTCCGGGTGTAATACATGGGAGCTGACCTGGTAGGTCCCGTGGGATTGGTGTCCCCGGGGCCAACCAATTGTCCGGAGAGTTGATACTGGAACTTTTGGGGAAGGCGTTGTCTGGACACAGCAGCCCCCACCTCCCCGCTAGGACCAGAGACCCAGGAGGCACAGCCAATCTGCAGAACAATTACACACTTAGGAACCCAGTGTGAGTCTGCAGCCCTCAGACACACAGGCCCATCCATCAAGCCAGACCCATGCAGAGATGCCCACAATGCATTTAGGCAGAACGCACAAGCCCAAACAGCTGGGGGTGGCACACTTATCTGCAGAACACATGTGCTCACATTTGCCCTTTTGCATACCCCCAAGCCTTACACCGAGAGGACCTGGACCCAGGGGGGAACTATGGGTTCACTCCTGTTAACACACACAGGCCCAGACACTCAGAAGCGCTCCCCTATGGGTGCAAACTCACACACGTGTCCAGGCAGATAGGCCCTTGCCAATGACACCTTTTTCCTGCTCAGGAGCTGGGGACTGACTCACCCACTCTTCAGAGCCCACACAGGAGCCCTGGGGGAGAGAGGAGGTTTCTGTGAGCTGCTGGCAAAGCCAGGCCAGGGTGAGGGGGCCGACTCCAGACCCGGAGCAGGTGGCCATGCAGCTGTGCCCCGGCTGGCTGTGCCAACTTGCTCACCCACTTGGACAAGCCTGGAGCCCCAGGGCAGCCTGCTGGGACCCAGGCTTAGGCAGCCCACTGGGGGAGGCATCTCCTACTGGGGAATGGGGCAATGGAAGTCTTGGCTTAGACAAACTGAGGCTCTGGGTAAATCTCTTTCCTTTGGATCTCACTCCCCCCATTTCGGGCAAAGATGCAGGCGGTCTAGTGTGCCTGTTTCTCTTAACTTAAATGGCTCATTGAACACTCTTCAACTCAGAGGGGCCTTGGCAGGTTGATCTGCATTTACACAACCTCCCCAGGTGACCCAGATGGCTCAGCGACCCCTGCTGAGAAACCTTAGGGGACTCGATGACACTAGGTAACAGGAAAAGTGGCCGGGGGTGGGGGAAAGAATACTTTAAGGACACCGGAAACACTCAGTTCAGGTCCTTACAAGTGACAGCCCAGATGTGGCCTTCCCGTCCCCCAGGGCCCCCAGCACCAGCTGTGAAAAGGGTCAGGGGTCATCCCCCCAAACTAGCTCCCTCCCCTCCACCCAAGAACACTGCAACTTTACTACCATCTAAAGTATTTGTTTAATAACAACAGAAAAAAACTCCACAGAACTATTGTAAAACAATATTCTCAGTCGGTGATCATTGTAATATACAATACACAGCAATTAATTTCCTCAGAAATCTGAGAAGCACCAAACGTGACCATTTTTCAAAATGTCTGCTTTTCAAAAAATAGAAACACACGGGGGGGGGGACTCCCCGAAGTCTCTGGTGACTGATAGGTGTGGAGGGAAGGTCGGCCTGCCCTGTCAGTCCCCAGCCCTGGGCTGGATCCAGCATGAACCCCAAAGCCGCTGATCTCAATGTTGTTCCTCCCCAGCTGCGGCGAGGCTCTTGGGCGGACCGGGAGCACTTATTCCTCTCGGCCCCTGGAGCGCTGGGGTATGCCGGTCCCGGAGGACGACACTTCAGCGACACAAGATGCGATCGTCTGTTGGAACACAAGCCGCCTGTGAAACGAAGAGAGAAGAAGTGAGACCGGTGGGTCAGAGGGGACAAGGCTGCAAGCTACCCCTTCCCCGGGAGACAGAAGGAGGAGCGCTGCTTCCGATGTCCTTGGGGACCCTCACATAGCCACGGACCCGAAAGGATGGGGAAGGGGTAGGGCCAAGTCCCCCCTCCCTCTCCGAGCCTCAGTTTCCCCATCTACAGGAGAATGATACTGTGCCCTCACCTCGGCCGCTAGGGCGCTGATCTCGCCGTTGAGGGTGCTGAGCGGAGCCCGGGCGGGAAGCCCCCGGCCCCCGGGGGTCCCGACTTGAGATTCGGAGTTCAGCTCTAATTCCAGGTCCCAGATGTAGTCGATGACGTGCTGGAGGATCTCCACCCTGCTCACTTTGCGGTTTTGGGGCAGAGTGGGCACCAGCTCCTTGAGGCGCGAGTAGCAGCCGTTCATGTCGTAGAGCAGCACGTTGACCTGCTGCTCGTCCAGCAGGGCGGGCAGGCGCGCCCCGGGGCCGCCGGCGCAGCGCGAGATGGCCACGCTCTGCTCCGACAGGCAGCGCACCACCTCGCCGGCGCCGCCCGCAGCCTTGCCGCCCTTCAGGGCGCAGCTGGGGCCCGCGGCGGCCGCGGCGTTGCCACTGGCGACCTTCATGATCCTGGCGTCGGGGTAAGAAAGAGGAGCCGGCGGGCAGGAGGAAGCCGAAACCCTAAAAAGACGGTTGTAGAATGCGCGATCCAAAGCCTACAGCCAGATTATTATAAAGACGCCCCGTCCCCACCCCCAGGGGCGGACTCAGACGTTCAAAAGCAGCCAATGGAAGGCCTGGGGGCGTGGCCTCCAGGGCCTCTGGGCCCCGCCTCTTGCTCTACAAGTTGAGCCCGGAGGGCGTGGAAAGGGGACCTAGAGTCTCCAGAACAGAGTGAGAGGGCATGGGGCAGGTTGGTTAGTGGAGACTAGGGCTCCTGTGGAGGCAAAATCGATATCGCCGTTAACGAAAAGATTTCAAGAACCAGCTTTCCCCGGGCTGGCCAGGTAGTTCAGTTGGTTAGAGCGTCGTCCCCATATACCGTAGCCAATGAATGCACAAATACGTGCAACAAGAAGTTGAGGTCTCTCTCCCTTTCTCTCTCTCTCTCTAGATAATATGATAATAATAATAATAGCAACAACCCATTTTCCTGGGTTCATTTTCTCACCTCTCCAGCTCCATTTTACAGATGAGAGAAACTGAGGCCCGGAGGAAGAAGCAGCTGGCTCTGGGCTGCCCAGAGCCTAGGCTTTGGGTCCTATTGGAAGGTGACCTCTGGGACCCTGATCTCGCGAATATTTGAGCCGGACTTTAAAGCGGGCACCTCTTTAACATCTGCACTGGGGCTGGTCTCCCCCAGGCCCCAGAGAACGTTGTTAGTAAACGTTCCTAGGCCCAGGGGTCGGACCCAGGTCCCTGGGATAGGAGGAATTAGTTTGGGAGGCCTCCTCTAGAACTGGGGGCTGAGCCTCTGGGACCCGAAGCAGACGGACGGTTCCCAGACTGGGGCTGCATCTCCTAATTCCACCCTGAATTTGCAGCCCCCTGCAAATTCCCTAAATCTGCATCAACTAGGGATTTTAAAATTTTTCTCCCTTTTTTGGCTATTTCCCCCCCAAAGATCTCGGATCAGGGTCTCCCACGGCGCGGCAGCTGTGCAGCTCGAGTCCCCCCTCTCCCCCCGTCCGTCTTCCCGGGCTGGTCTGTGTCAGCGTCTGAACAAGAGGCTCAGACCGTTAGACGCCAGGCCCGTGACGTCACCCATTCATAAAACCCGGACGGGCTGTCAGGCTGGCGCCGCGCGGGCGGTCGCCATGGAGACGACAAACCCGGCTCTGCGCGCTTCCCTCAGCCAGCCCCTCACCTGCGGACCTCCGGCTGGGGGCCTGGGAATGTGCTCCTTACCGGCACGGGTCTCCGAGCAAAGGTCACCTTACCTCCCCGCCCCACACCTGGACTGTCCCCGCCAGGTCCACAGCTTGGGCGGCTTAGGAAATTTCTTCACCATCGCCTCCCCATCTCCTGCTCTTCTTACTGCCCGGGGAAAGGGGCCCAGTTCTGCTGCTGGGTGAATTTTGTTGAGTCTCGGGCTCTCTGAGCCCTAATATCTGCCTGTTATTTCGATAATAATCACTCAGGTTACGATTTACTGCCTTCTTACTTCGTGCCAGGCGGGCACTGGGAAAGAGTTTGCCTTTATCGTCTTCTGTAATCCCTGCCACAACTCTAAAGAGAGGGGCGATTCGGTTTCTTTATACAAAGGAGGAAACTGAGGCCCTAAAAGCCTCCCAGGAGCCACAGCCGTTGTGATGGCCGCATTACTAATAACAAAGGCACCTCGCCGCAGCGCAGTCCCTTCCTGCCAGGACGGGCATTGCGCCTCCAGATGGACCAGAGCTGGGAGTCTGAGGCTTACGACAGCTACCCAAGGCTGCACAGCCTTAGCAGGCTAAAATTCTGCGCTAACATAGGACAGTGATACTAGGTACCTCCCCCCGCCCCCACGCCCACCCCGCTCCACCAGTAAGTAATTCACTGGGTATCAGCAAGTTTCTTTTTTTTTCAGGAGTTTGGAGAAAGGGTCAATAAACCAGCCCCCTGCCCCCACACGAGGAAACCGGGGACACTAATCCGTGAGACCAACTTCAAAGGAAAGGGACGTCAATTAATTAGCTGGACTCCCCATCCCCTTACCTCCCTAGGCTTGTTCAGCAATCCTCCAATGACTGGAAAGAAGGTTCTGCTGTGCAGAAGGGTTGCTAAAGAATTGAAAGGACAGTGACCAAGCAGAGGAAATTAGGATATTAATCCACTCTTGAGTGTTTATTAACTGACCGGGCGGTTCTTGCTGCAGTCAATTCCAGAACCACCTGCACACCTGGGCGTGAGGATGTCTTCCCAAGGATGTTCGCTGGGAGCTGTTTACAAGAGGGGAAGTTGAAATAACCTAAATATCCATCAACAGTGGCGTTAAAAGAGGAACGGAACATCAGTGCTGGGGGCCGGCCTGCAGCAGGGGAAGTATGCCTCTGAGAGATATCTAGATTCCGCTGTCCGTGGAGAAAGCCCCGACAGCCTGGGGGGGTTCAGGCAGGACCCCTTGTAGACTGCGCCCAAGTACCTGTGTATCTGGAAATGAATTTAAAACGGGGGAGAAAATTATGCTGTGGAAAGTTTCAAACACAATACTGTGTGATTCCTCACAGATGAAGTTCCAGAACAGGCACAGCTAATGAGCAGTGAAAGAAATCAGAATGCCGGTGCCTCTGGGAGGGGAGGGTGCCAGTTGCCAGGGAAGGGACGTGAGGGAACGTTCTGGAGTGATGGGAATGTTCCAGATCATGACGAGGTGTGGCCTACAAAGTGTATGACTTTGTCAAAACACACTGAATTACTTCACCGTGTTTAAATTGCACCTCAATAAAAAATATTAGAAAGAAGAAAAAAGAAGAAGAAAGAAGAAAAGAAGAAGAAAAAAAGAAGAAAAAAGAAGAAAGAAGAAAAGACATCAAATTACTAATATTGCCACCGTGAAGAGGAGTGAGAGGGGAAGGAGAACAGTGTGAAATTAGAATTTCACTATTATCTTCACATAGGTATTTGGTTTTTGTGTGGGTTTTCTTTTTAAGATTTTATTTATTTTTAGAGAAAAGGGGAAGGGAGGGAGGAAGAGAGGGAGAGAAAGATCCATGTGTGGTTGCCTCTGGTGAGCCCCATACCAGGAACCTGGCCTGCAACCCAGGCATGTGCCCTGATAGAGAATTGAACCAGCAACCCTTTGGTTCACAGGCCCACACTCAATCCACTGAGTCACGCCAGCCAGGGCTGATTTTTGGTTTTTTTCCCCCCTAGTGCTACTGAAGTATAATTAACATACACAAACTGCAAAGATTTAAAGTGTACAATGCCATAAATTTCAACATATATGAACCCAGGAATCATTGCCATGATCAAGAAAATTAACATATACTTCATGACCCCTAGAAGTTTTCTTCTGTCCTTCATAATTCTTCCCTGCTCTTCTACCCACTGCCCAGGGAACCAGTCATCTGTCTTTTATATAGTTTTCATGTGCTGGCATTTCATAGAAAGTACACTGTGTATACACACACACGCAGTACTCAGTACATACATATATAATGTATATACAGTACATACTCTTTATTGTAGCTATTTCAGCATAGCTTCCTTTTCTTTTAAAAAAGATTTTATTTACTTATTTTTAAAGAGAGGAGAAGGGAGGGAGAAAGGGGAGAGAAACATTGATGTATGAGAGAAACATTGATTGGTTGCTTCTCTGACTTGCTCCAACTGGGAACCAGCCTGCAACCTAGGCATGTGTCCTGACCAGGAATTGAACTGGAGACCTTCTGCTTTGCCAGACAAACACCCAATCAAACTGAGCCACACCTAACCAGGGCCAGCTTAGTTTCTTTAACCCAGCATAATTATTTTTAATATATTTTATTGATTATGCTATTAGAGTTGTCCCATTTTTTCTTTCCCTTTATTCCCCTCCACCCTGCACCTTCCCTCCCACCAGCATCCCTCCACCTTAGTTCATGTCCATGGGCCGTACATAGAAGTTCTTTGGCTTCTCCATTTCCCATACTATTCTTAATCTCCCCCTGTCTATTTTGTAGCTACCATTTATCAGCATCATTATTTTGAGATTCACCTACGTTCATTCCTTTCTTATCGTTTAGGAGTCATGAATGGATATACCACAGTGTTTACCCATTTGCTTTGATAGACGTCTGGGTTGTTTATAGTTTTTGGTTAGTACAAATAAAGCTGCTTTGAACCCTTGTATACAAGTGTTTATATGAATCTGTGCTTTCATTTCTCTTAGTTAAAAAACTTATTAGTGAAATGATTGGGTCACATAATAGGCATTTATTTAACTTTATAAGAAATTGCTCAACTCTTTTCCCAAGTGCTGTGTCTTTTCGCATTCCTATAAGCAGCACGGAGAGTCCGGGTCCTCCACGCCCTCTCTGACAGTTGATGTGGTCAGCCTTTTCCCGTCATTCTAATAGATGTGTGTGGTATCCCACTGTGGTTTTCAATTGTATTTTCTGAAGGACTAAAAAGCCAAGCATCTTTTTATGTGCTTATATGCCATCCACATCTCTTCTCTGGTAAAATGTCCTTCGCTTCTTTTGCTTATTAAAAAATTAATTTTAGATACTTGCAGATTCACACGCAGCTATAAGAAATAATAGAGAGAAACCCCTTATATCCTTCACCCAGTTTCCTTAATGGTAGCACCCTGCATAACTAAAGTGCAATATTACAGGAAGATCTCACGTGAAATTTGACGAGGTTGGCAGTCATCCGTTCGTGCATGTATTTAGTTCTGTGCAGTTTTATCCTGTTCAGGTTCCTGTGAGCACCGCCATGGTGAGGACACAGCACAGCCCCACCCCAAGGCTCCCACACATGCCCTTTGATTTGGTTGTTTTCTGTTCTTTTATCTTTTTTTGGGTCAAACTTGCTTTCTTTCTTTCTTTCCTTACTGAAGAGAGAGAGGAAGGGAGGAAGAGGGAGAAAGAAAGGGAGAGAAACATCGATGTGAGAGAGAAATGATCGGTTGCCTCTCATACGTACCCTGAATGGGGAACGAATCTCCAACCCGGGCATGTGCTCTGATTGGGAATTGAACAGGCGACCTTTTGGTTAGCAGGACGACATCCAAC